AATCAAATAGTGCAGGGTCATATAATACAGGATACAAAATGAATAATATTTGCATAGCTGTAGCTATCTAAAAGGCTTGCACATGAGATTATTTGATGTTTGACATGAGAACATAATATTTTACATGTGTAAAGCATTTGTTGGGTTCAAACTAGTGCAGATTGACATATTCAAACATTTATCGGGTTCAAGCAGCAAGCAAACACACAGGTCACGGGCACAATAGGAAGGCAGTCACTCACCTGTTGTTTAATGTCACCTGTTGCTTATTGTCCTCAAGTTGAGACATCTGAAACAACACAATTAGTGTTAAATATTATATGCAAAGGCACACAAAAAGATTTTAAAACCTACTGCAGACAATCTAATGTATAATTTAACTATCAGGTGAATTAAATGACAAGCTCAAGGAGGCAAGTTAATTTATAATTTAACTATCTAATGTAAAAACAAGTTAATTGTGGCACAGGCTGCTCTCTACTAATTTAAAACAGTGAAAACTAAACCGCTTACTTATCTCTGTTAACATTCTGATAAGCAATTGTCTTTCAGTACACTGTATTCTAAATAGCGGTAAAATCATTCTGAAACAAGCAATTGCCATTCAGTGCAGTGTATTCTAAATGCCAGGGGATCAACTGTAATCAATGTAACAAGGAAATCATGCCAGCAGCAGATCAAATGCTCAAGTAATTTCACATATAACGTAAATTGGCAAACTCAGTTCATTATAACTTAATTGCTCATGATAGAGTTATCCAATCATGGGCAATCAACAACAGTACTCGGATGGACCTGCTAGCAGATAAAAGAATCAAAGCGTTACTGATGGACCCGCTAGCAATTGAAAGAATCAAAGCATTACTCTGATATGGACCTGCTAATTTACTATGCCCATAACTCAAAAGATTAAATATAATACGCACTAATGCTAAAATGTTTGAAGGGCAATAAACATTAAACAATGGAACTGCAGTTCTACACATGAAGCAGGTAACCAATTCGATTTGGCAAATAAAACAAGTGAGGCAGAATCTAAGCACACGTTTATTGACAGTTCCCAAACGTAATCCGCTCTATTCATTTGCACTCGCCCTCGCACAGGCTCAGCCCAGTCCTTGCCTTGCAGACTTGCAGGCAGCAGACAGCGGCCAGCGAGCAGCCCCTCCAAGCACCAGTCCCCTAAAGCCTGCAACCCTGCACGAAGTGCGTAACGCCCGCCGCTCGCGGCCACGTCCATGGCTCCGAGGGTCGCCATCTTTCAGATCAATGCCTCTTGGACAGATCATAGGCATTGTGCCTGGAGGGCCCTCTTTTCCTGCACAGCCAAATCAGCTGTAGTGTGTAGTTGTTGTGAGCAAATCTGTCATGTGCAGGGAAACACCCCGAGCAACATATCAAAGATTGCCTGTGGTATAGTGATGGTCCATAGAGCATAATATCAAAGAAATTATATAGATTGACAAAAAAAATTCATCTGGAAACTACTTTTACTGTTTTACAATGTAAATGTTTGAATTCAAGATTATATATAAATATATATTATAGATGTTGCTCTGACAATGAAGCCATAGCTCTACGTTTTAGAAACATGATCCTACCACGGCGAGGGGAAATATAGTAACTGGGATTCGGTGGCAAATCAACGATCTCTTGGATTTCCATTGGAGGGAGACAATACCCGTGACCTGTGTATAGACACATCACCTTAAAGCTAGAAAGCAATTCCACAGAATATGCCTTTGAATTAACATGCCTTCATCTGAATTTCATAACTCCCTTGGAAAGAAGTTGAGAGGATAGACAAAACAAAACTAACAAAACCGGTTCATTTTGAACAGATGAACCAGAAACACAACTTTGACAGATTTGCCTACGTCCGTTGCCAGCATCCCAGCAATATAGGGCATGTTCGCTGGTTGGTGCTGGTGCTGGTTTGGGCTGACTGGTGCTGGTTTTTTGTGAGAGGAAAACACTGTTGGCTGGCTGGTTTAGGTTGGCTGAAACCAACAAGCGAACAGGCTGATAACCTACTCAAAATCACTGACGGAAACTGATTGAACTGAGTATTACCCAAACGAGCAGGTAAGGTGACCTTGTCATCATTTGAATCGAATCAACAAAATTCCCCAAATCACCGGACAAAACCTCGCTAGTATTACAGTTCTTTCTCAGAAAAGGCATAATAATGATTAATTAAAGCTGGGTCTCTTTCCACAACAGGCACAAACTCACCTCTCGTCTTCCTCCAGAGCAGGGCTGGAGTGGGAACCAGTAGGGCACTCTGCCGCGAGGCCGATGCGCCTGGCACGGCTCCGGCGAGTTGGAGGCTCATCTTCGCGATCCCGGCCAGGAGGCTGCTCGGCTCCGCGTCGGCCCCCCCAGCCAGGAAGCTACTCGGCCCGGCGTCGGCCCCGGCCAGGAGGCCGCGCACCACCGGCAAGGATCTCGCCCGCCTTGGCCACGCCCCCGACCAGGAGGTCACCCGCACCGGCGTCGCCCTGGCCAAGATCTCGCCCGCGCCATGGGGGCACGCGACCGGCCGACACAGCGCATGGGTGGAGGGCGCTGTCCATGATCGCGACCGCCGTCTTCGCTGGTGCGGGCATGTAGCCGCTTCGGGAAAGCCAGCCGGATCAAGGCAAGGGCGAGCGCGGGGCGGGGCGGGCGGGGTGGGCGGTGGGCGCGAGGCTGGCTAGCTGTCTGAGGCTTGGACTGCCCGGCCGACCGAAATCGCATAAGTGCCCCACCCGCGCCCTTTGCCGAGCGCCGGATCAGGAGGCACTCGGCAAAGGAGGCAACTTTGCCGAAAGTGCCCGATCCGGCCGTCGGTATTTTTTTTTAATGCCTTTACCGAAAGTGCCCCTGTGGAGGCACTCAAGATAGAGAATTTTTAAAAAAAAAAAAAATCCTCTTTGCCCGGCGCCTTATTCTTGGCACTCGGCAAAGACCCCTTTGCCGAAAGTGCCATACCCAAGCACTCGGCAAAAAGTTTTTTTATTTTTTTGTTTTTGGCCTCTAAATTTTTTGTGCAGCCCTTTTAAGGATCGGGAACTCCTAATTTGAATTTGAGGATTTTTTTGTGGCTTTTTGATATATTTAGTTACTTTATTTCGTTTACTTGAATTTTTTGAAAAAATATAAATTTGAGCTTGCATTAGATACGAATAATGGAATTTAATGATTCTATAAAAAAAATGATAGTCATATCATAAAAATTGAGTGTAGTGTGAGGCCGTATCCGAGGAGCGGACCCGAAATTTTAGAAACATCTTGTTCACAAAACATGACCGTAAACTTGCGTGCGATAGTACATTTGGAGATCTTCGGTTTGTAAGCAAAGACGTGACAACGTCACCAAACCTTCTCAAATTTTTATCATGTCTCCATATACGTATATCACGATATCTCAACAAGTTTCATGATTTTTGACTTCATTTGCATTTTTTATAGAATTTAAAACACTTCAAACGCAAGTTCAAGTTCATGTTTCATGTTTGAACAAGATGTCCGAAATTTCGGGTCCGCTCCTCGGATAATGCCTCACACTATACTCAGTAACATGACTATCATTTTTTGAATCATTAAATTCCATTCATGTGCAGTTCAAATTTGTATTTTTCAAAAAAATTCAAGTAAACGAAATAAAGTAACTAAATATATAAAAAAGCCACAAAAAATCCTTAAATTCTAACTAGGAGTTCCTGGTACCTTAAAAGGGCTGCACAAAAAATTTGGAGGCAAAAAAAAAATCTTTACCGAGTGCCGCGGGATGGCACTCGGCTAAGGCGGTCTTTGCCGAGTGCCAAGAATAAGGCACTCGGCAAAGAGGGTTTTCAATTTTTTTTTAAAAAAAATTTCCTCTTTGCCGAGTGCCTTCCCAGGGGCACTCGGCAAAGACATTTCGAAAAAAAATTCTTTGCCGAGCGCCGTGTCAGGGGCACTCGGCAAAGTATTTTCCAAAAAAAAAATCTTTGCCGAGTGCCAGATCTGGGACACTCGGCAAAGAATTTTTTTAAAAAAAAAACCGTTTGCTGAGTGCCAGATCGGGGGCACTCGGCAAAGTATTTTCAAAAAAAAAAATCTTTGCCGAGTGCCAGATCTGGGACACTCGACAAAGAATTTTTTTTTAAAAAAAAACCTTGTTTGCCGAGTGCCTAACAGCAGGCACTCGACAAAGAAGGACGTGGCCGAACACCGTTACGCGGGGCAGCCTATGCCGAGTGCCGTGCTTTTGCCGAGAGCCTTTTTTTGCCGAGTGTAATTCTTTGCCGAGTGCGACACTCGGCAAAGAAGGTCTTTGCCGAGTGCTCGATTTTTGACACTCGGCAAAGCATTTTGCACTCGGCAAATATCCAGTTTCCAGTAGTGCATGTAGATAAATTTACATCTCGTATACTAAATTTTCGAGTCAAATGCTAAATCCTATGACGACACGGCTGTTAGGCTAACGAATCTTACAATTCATGTGGCATGAGCAGGGCACATGCATTATTTTGAGAATAGTCCAAGAATTATATTATTTTGGGGACGAAAGGAGTACATTCTTTTCACAAGTTGTGATGACTTATTTTCCAACCCTACCATATACAGCCTACTATATGCAGGAAGGAGCCAAGAAAAGCAGTCTCCGCCAATCCGTCTGTTTTCTTCCAGTGACGGGCCCGCGCATCAACTTGGATGAGAAAAAATGCCTCGGATTCCCATGGCTCTCGCACCCCACGTTTTTGGTCGCCGTCATCTAACGGTCAAGCTTACTTGTTTCATTTTCACTTTCCTTTTTTTTCATTCACAAATATTCAGATGTTCACACGTTTCCATTCCCCATGGTGCTCCTAAAGAAAGCTTGTGGCATACTAAAATTTCATTATAAAAACATTCATGGAGCTCGTTTGCGGAGAGAGAGAATATAGAACTTGATTAGTGATTACCTGAAGTTGTCCCCATGAAGTAATGCTATCATCTTCTTTCCAAATTGAAGCCTCACACCAAAGACCACCATGGCACATGGACATCTTGCACGCATATCCATCATGCTGTGGATCGTGTTTTCCACTGCTGCTGCTGCTCTAGACGCAAGCAGGAGCAACGGCAGCAACTCCGACCACGCTGCTCTGCTGGCTTTCAAGGGGCAGGTCGCCGATCCTCTCGGCATCCTCGCAAGAAACTGGACCGCTGCCACCTCCTTCTGCGTCTGGGTGGGCATCACATGCAGCCACCGTCGTCGGCAGCGCGTTGTTGGTGTAAGCCAGCTGCACAATGAAGTCTTGGAGGCTGCTCGTGATGCTGGTGAAGCGGGAGAAGCAGCGTGTTTGAATTCAAGATGCAGCGGGAACGGTTACTGGAGCCGGCGCGGTGAGCGCGCCCACGTTCGTGCACTGACAGTGCAGTTGCATTGTTGGTCACTTGTATCTTGTGTTTAGCAGTTTTATTCTAAACAAGTGTGTGTAATGACTGCTGGTATAAGTAGCCTAGAGTTCGAAGTGTGAGTTAGCGCTTCAGTTTACTTGTAATCGTGATTGTATTGCAGACCTCAATCAGTGAAAAAGGGCACTGTCACTCCCTGTCGACAGTTGCCAGTTCGTGTCCATTTCGTGTTCTTGAGCGCAAATCCTTGTCTAGGCTAGCCAATTAACAATATTGTGCTGTGATTGTGATCTTGATTTCCTACATTTGGTATCAAAGCCACTAATCACGCACAAACACTCAAGAAATCCATACCATGGGCGACCGGAGTGGCGGCGCAGGCGGCGGCGGTGATCGCATCACATATCCGGCGCTCACGGCGACGAACTACACCAGTTGGTGTATTCGAGTCTAGGCGATCATGGAGGATCAGGGAGTGTGGGAGGTCGTGGAACCGCCTGCGGAGGCGTCGGAGCAGGCAGCGACGGCGGCAGAGGCGGCGAAGGCAAAGGCAAAGGATAGGAAGGCGAAAGCTCACTTGCTGCAATGTCTCCCCGATGATTTGCTGATGCAAGTGGCGACCAAGAAGACTGGAAAGGAGGTGTGGGAATCACTGAAGGCGAGGTTTGTTGGTGCGGAGCGAGTGAGGGAAGCGCGGTTGCAGACCCTGAAGAGCGAGTTCGACGCTTTGCGGATGAAGGAAGATGAGCAGCTTGATCAGTATGTGGGAAAACTGACGGGTATGTCAGTCAAGTATGGTAACCTTGGTGGTACATTGGGAGATGCAGCACTGGTGAAGAAACTTTTTGACACCGTGCCCGATCGATACCTCAATGTGATCGCGGGGGTCGAGCAGTTCTATGATCTGTCCAAGATGGCGTTCGATGATGCAGTTGGTCGATTGAAGGCGTTTGATGAGCGTACCAGGCGAGGAGCCGGTGGTGCGCGTTCTGACAATGGGCAGTTGTTGCTCACACAGTCAGAATGGGAGGCGCGCCAGAAGAGATCGACGGGAGAAGGGTCTGGAGGCGGGAGGTCTCATGATGGAGGCAGTCGTGGCCGGGGAAGAGGTCGTGGCGGCGGACGTGGTGGCCGTGGAGGACAAGGTGAAGCAGCCAAGGATGGCGGAAGCAAACGTGACAAGAGTCACATAAAATGCTTCAAGTGTCATAATAACGGTCACTACGCAAATCGATGCCCGGAGAAGAAGAAAGAGGAAGAGGCTCACCATGTCAGGACAGTGGAGACTGAGCCGTCAGTGTTGCTCGCAGAAACAGTTGGACTGAGACTGCATGAGCACACTGAGACAATGAGTCTACATTCATAGGTGTATCTGGAAGAGTCCAAGGTGATGCCGGCGCTCTACTTCGTTGAAGAGGGTGATGAGGAGTCCATGAATAATGTCTGGTACCTGGATAATGGCGCCAGCAACCATATGTCGGGGGTTCGACAGATGTTCAGAGACATTGATCATACTGTCTCTGGTAAGGTACGGTTTGGCGATGGTTCTTTTGTTGAAATTATGGGGAAGGGTTCAATTCTGTTTCAAGGGAGATCTGGTGATCAGTGGTTGTTGCATGATATTTACTATGTTCCTAAACTTAAGAGCAATTTGATCAGTTTGGGTCAGTTGACAGAGATTGGGCATAGAATTGTTATGGATGATGATGAAATAGTTGTTCAGAGAAAAATCCACATAGACCCGATCATGAGAGTTCGAGAGAGCGTTGAATAGAACTTACAAAATTGAATTGGCACCAGTGAATCCAATTTGTATGTTGACTAGTATTGGGGATGAGGCTTGGTTGTGGCATGGCGGGCTTGGCCATGTGAATTTTCAGGCCATGAAAAAATTAGTTGACAAGGAGATGGTTGGAGGAGTGCCATTGATACAAACATCCAGATCAGGTTTGTCAAGACTGCTTTGATGACCAAGCAAACTAGGATGTTTTTTCCTCATTCAGCATTGTGGAGGGGCAGATGAGCCACTCAAGCTTGTCCACGTGGATCTGTGTGGGCCCATAACACCATCTATGCGGTGGCAACAAATATTTCATGTTGTTGGTGGATGACTGCACAAGATGGACACAGTGTACATTTGAAGAACAAGGACCAAGCTGTTGATGCTTTTGTCAAGTACAAGGCAGATGTGGAGAATTCTTCAAGCCACAAATTGAAGATCCTCGAGATCGAGATAGGGAGGGAATTTCTTGCCAAGTCATTTGAGTATGTGTGAGCAGTGGGATCAAGCACCATTCATCGCACCCTATTCACCACAACAAAATGGAGTGGTAGAAAGAAAGAAACGAAGCGGTGATGGAGATGGCAAGGGCTATCTTTGAAAAGCATGAATTTACCAGAAGGTTTTTAATGAGGCGGTCGGACATCTTTGTGTACTTGCTAAGCAACAGACCGCCAACCAAAGCAATGGGTGATAGGACTCCCTATGAGGGTTGGAATGGAAGAAAACCAAATCTGAGCCATTTGAGGGTTTTGGGGTGTAAAGGGCATGTGAAGACGGTGAAGCCACATCTGAAGAAACTTTAAGATAGAAGTGTGCCAATGGTGTATTTTGGCATAGAAGAAGGAAGCAAGGCTCACAGAATGTACAATCCTCAAGACAATGAATAGTGGTTAGCAGAGATGTTGTTTTGAGGAGTCACTGAAATGGAGCCGGGAAGCGAGAAGAAGAAAGGGATTTTACCGAAACCGAGAAGAAGGGATGGACAATTCTTTTACGGAGGTTTTGGGAGATTTGGTGTTGGGATTGGTGCAGATCAAGACCATCAGATGATGTTCAAGATGGAATGCCAAGTGGAGATACAAACACAACGAGGAGGCGGTGAGTCCATTTGAGTAGTCAGCGATCCACCGAAGGCTGAAGAAAATCCGACAATAGAAGAGGCATGTGTATTTCCGAGGAATTCAGTATGAGAACTTTGAGGGGAATCATGATATGATGGATGTTGATGACAAGTGACAACTATGATGAAACCCCCTCAGATTCAGAGACTTGAATGAGGTCTATCAGAATCGGAAGAAGTGGAACTGAATTCTAACACGTAAATTGTCGCTTTCTTTGGCGATAATGGAAGAACCTTCAAGTTTTGTGGAAGCAGAGGGTGATGAAAATTGGATGAATGCCATGAGGAGTGAGATTCAGTCTATCTGCAAAAACAAGACTTGGGAATTGTCTGCTTTGCCACTGTGATGAAGCCAATTGGGCTTAAATGGGTTTTCAAGCTCAAAAGGAACTCGAGGGAGAGGTGGTAAAACACAAGGCTAGGGCTGGTAGCTAAAGGGTATGTACAAAAACAGGTGTTGATTTTGAGGAAGTGTTTGCACCAGTTGCAAGGTTTGGATACAATCAGGATGATACTAGCTATGGCGAGCAAACAAAGGATGGCAGTGCATCATCTTGATGTGAAATCATCATTTCTCAATGGTGAATTGGAAGAGGAAGTTTATGTAGTACAACCTGAAGGCTTTGTGGAGAAAGGAAAGGAAAGAATGGTTCGAAGTTAAGCAAAGCACTCTATGGCTTGAGACAGGGCTCCTAGAGCCCGGAATGTGAAATTAGACAAGAGTCTCAAGAATTTGCAATTTAGCAAATGTGCTAGTGAACCAAAGAAAGGTGTACACTAGGGGAGTTGGGAAGAAGGCGGTTATACTTGGTGTTTATGTTGATGATTTGATAGTGACAGGAGAAGATCCAAATTTGAGATTGAGTTGTTCAAGAAAGAAATGACCTCACAATTTGATATGAGTGATCTTGGTTTATTATCATTCTATCTGGGGATTGAGGTTGATCAGCAGCAGGATTATGTTACTGTCAGACAGTCCAGCTATGCAAAGAAAGTATTGAGCCAGTTTGGTATGGAAGATTGTAATCCTACCAAAATCCCAATGGATCCAGGAGCTAAACTTGATGAGGATAAAGGAGGAGAAAGAGTTGATGCCACTGATTACTGAGAAGAGTAATTGGGTGTATCGAGGTATCTCTCGCATACAAGACCAGATTTGTCTTTTTCAAAGTGGGGATGGTTAGTAGATACATGGAGAAACCTACAGTGAAGCATCAAAGAGCGAAAAAGCAAATACTGAGATATTTGAAGGGTACTGTGGATTTTGGGTTGGTGTATACCCAAGGTGGGAAAGAAGAAGAAATAATTGGTTATCTTGATGGTGATTTGGCTGGTGACTTGGTTGGAAGAAGGAGTACAGCAGGTATGGCTTTCTATCTGAATGAGAGTCTGATTACTTGGTGTTCTCGGAAGGAGAAAACTGTTGCTCTATCTTCTTGCGAGGCTGAGTTCATGGCAGCAACAGCAGCTGCAAAGCAAGCCTTATGGCTCAGAGTTACATTGAGTGAGCTCACTGGAAGGAAGCCAAAGTCGAGAGAACTATTTGTTGACAACAATTCAGCTATTGCCTTGATGAAAAACCCTGTGTTTCATGGTAGGAGTAAGCATATAGATATCAAATACCATTTCATTAGGGAGTGTGTTGAGAGGAAGCAGATTGTTGTGAAGAGAGTGTGCCTGCAGAAAGCGAAGGCGAGATACTCGACAAAAGCCTTGCCAGCGAGTGATGTTGGGTGTGATGAACCATCTACTCGGGATCAGGAAGCTTGATGTGCATCAGGCTTAGGGGGGAGTATGTTGGTGTAAGCCAGCTGCACAATGAAGTCTTGGAGGCTGCTCGTGATGCTGGTGAAGCGGGAGAAGCAGCGTGTTTGAATTCAAGATGCAGCGGAAGCAGTTCTTGGAGCGGCGCGGTGTGAGCTGCCCACGTTCGTGCACTGACAGTGCAGTTGCATTGTTGGTCACTTGTATCTTGTGTTTAGCAGTTTTATTCTAAACAAGTGTGTGTAATGACTGCTGGTATAAGTAGCCTAGAGTTCGAAGTGTGAGTTAGCGCTTCAGTTTACTTGTAATCGTGATTGTATTGCAGACCTCAATCAGTGAAAAAGGGCACTGTCACTCCCTGTCGACAGTTGCCAGTTCGTGCCCATTTCGTGTTCTTGAGCGCAAATCCTTGTCTAGGCTAGCCAATTAACAATATTGTGCTGTGATTGTGATCTTGATTTCCTACACGCGTCACCGCCCTGGAGCTGCCGGGTGTATCCCTCCAAGGAGTGATCAGCCCTCACCTCGGTAACCTCTCTTTCCTCTCTGTCCTCAACCTCTCCAGCACCAACCTCACGGGCACAGTCCCGGATGGTATAGGAAGGCTGCGCCGCCTCAAGCTCCTTGACATTGCCCACAATGCCCTGTCAGGTGGCATCCCTGCCACCATAGGGAACCTCACAAAGCTTCAGATTCTTGATCTCAGCTTTAACCAGCTTTCTGGTCCCATCCCAACAGAGCTACAAGGCTTGCGCGACCTTGGCCGCGTGAGTCTCCAAATGAATTACCTCAGTGGTTTCATACCGAATGACCTGTTCAACAATACACCCTTGTTAACTTATTTGAACCTCGGCAATAACAGCCTGTCAGGAGTGATACCAGATTGCATCGGCTCCTTGCTCACACTTGAGATCCTTGTCCTGCAATTCAACAATCTTACGGGGCCGGTGCCGCCAGCCATCTTCAACATGTCTACCTTGAACGTTATCGCTGTATCCTCGAACCACTTGACTGGCCCTTTCCCGGAGAATGGAAGTTTCAGCCTCCCAGCTTTGCAATACATTCAGCTCTCTGATAATAGTTTCAGTGGTACCATTCCACAGGGGCTCTTGGCGTGTCGGCACCTCATAGAGCTTTCTCTAGCAAAAAATTCATTTGAGGGTGTTGTGCCGGCATGGCTAGGAAAGCTGACCAATCTCCAGTTCATTAACGTGGGCTGGAATGACCTCACTGGTCCGATCCCTGCTCAACTCAGCAACCTCACCGGGCTAACTGTCATGGAAATCGCCTTTTGCAATCTGACAGGAATCCTTCCGGCAGAGCTTGGACGGCTAGGCCAACTTTCCGAACTGTATCTCTCGAGCAATCAGCTAACAGGAACTGTTCCTGCTTTTCTTTGAAACCTTTCTCAGTTAGTATCGCTGTTTTTGGATGGAAACCAGTTGTCTGGATCGGTACCGTTAACAATTGGTAACCTGAACTTGTTGACGACACTTAATATTGGGGGAAACAGTCTCCAAGGTGATCTTAGTTTTCTTTCTGTTATTTCCAACTGTAGAATGCTCTCAGACTTTGAAATCTATTCGAATTATTTCACTGGAAGCATCCCAGGTTATTTGGGCAACCTGTCAAGTCAGCTCCAAATATTTCTTGCTAATGACAACAAGTTAACTGGTGAAATTCCAGCTGCCATCTCGAACTTAACTGCTCTCACTGTGCTAGATATTTCGTCAAACCAATTTCATAGTGCAATTCCAGGACAACTGATGATGCTAGAGAATCTCTACTGGCTCAAACTCAGTAGAAACAGCTTGTCTGGCTCCATCCCTTCAAACATTGCAATGCTAAAGAATGTGGTCAAGTTATTCCTTCCAAGCAACCAATTCTCCGGCGCCATACCCAAGGGCATCGGCAACCTCAGCAAACTAGAGTTCCTAGTGTTATCAAACAACCAATTAACATCGACTGTACCACCGAGCCTGTTTCACCTTGATAGCCTCATCAGGCTAGACCTATCTCAAAACTTGTTGAGTGGTGTGTTACCGGTTGATACAGGCTATATGAAGCAAATTTATATGATGGATCTATCTATCAATAACTTTGTTGGTAGCCTCCCAGATTCAATGGGACAGCTCCAGATGATGGCCTACTTGAACCTGTCACACAATTCATTCAACGATTCAATTCCACAATCTTTTCAGAAACTGGCCAGCCTGCAAAATTTGGACCTATCCCATAATGGTATATCTGGAACCATCCCAGAGTACTTGTCAAATTTTACCATCCTCATTATCTTGAACCTATCTTACAATAAATTACACGGTCAGATACCAGAAGGTGGCGTGTTCTCAAACATCACGCTGCAATCACTTATGGGGAACGCAGGGCTCTGTGGTGCTTCACGCTTGGGATTGCCACCATGTTCAGCCAAGTCTCACACAACCAGTGGTCATGGTCACAAGATGAGATTTTTGCTCCCCACTATAATCATAATAATACTTGCAGCTCTGGCTTGCTTCCTATACATTATGTTCAGAAAGAAAGTCAATAAGCGTGAAGAGATTTCTGCTTGTATGGTCGACATGATCAGCCATCAGTTAGTCTCCTACCATGAGCTTGTTCGTGCTACTGACAATTTCAGTGATGATAACATGCTGGGGTCTGGAAGCTTTGGGAAAGTTTTTAAGGGACAGCTGAGCAACGGTGTGGTGGTTGCAATAAAAGTTATACACGCGCATCTGGATTATGCCATGAGAAGCTTTGACGCCGAGTGCAGTGTGCTCCGAATGGCACGACATCGCAATCTGATAAAGGTTCTGAATACATGTTCCAACCTGGACTTCAGAGCACTTGTTCTTCAGTTCATGCCCAACGGTAGCTTAGAGGCACTCCTGCACTCTGAAGGTAGAAGGCACCTGGGGCTCCTTGAGAGGCTGGACATCATGCTGGGCGTGGCGGCAGCAATGGAGTATCTGCACCATGAGCACTCCGAGGTGGTCTTGCACTGTGACCTGAAGCCTAGCAACGTCCTCTTTGACGAGGACATGACCGCACATGTGGCAGACTTTGGCATTTCAAGGTTGCTGCTAGGCGATGATAGCTCCATGATCTCTGCGAGCATGCCAGGGACAATTGGTTACATGGCACCAGGTAGCACTAATGCCCAATCAAAGATGATTAGAGTTACCTTTAATAGTTTAACTATGTTTGATCAATCATTAATATTTCGATCTGTCTTTTGTTTATGGTAACTTTGTTGTCAGAGTATGGATCTCTTGGAAAAGCATCGCGGAAGAGCGACGTGTTCAGCTATGGGATCATGCTGCTTGAAGTGTTCACTGGGAAGAGACCCACGGATGCCATGTTTCTGGGAGAGCTAAGCATCAGGCAGTGGGTACATCAGGCGTTTCCTGCAGAGCTTGTCAATGTTGTCGACAACCAGCTTCTGCTGGATGGCTGTGGCTCTGCTTCTACAAATATTATGAGTGGTTTTCTTGTGCCAATTTTCAAGCTGAGCTTGGTCTGCTCCACTGACTCGCCGGAGCAAAGGATGGCTATGACCGAAGTGGCAGTGACGCTGAAAAAAATCAGAAATGATTATGTCAAGTCAACAGCACCGGAGCATTGCGTTGCAATCGATCACCATTAGTAAAATTATGTATGCGAAGGCATATATGTCTAGTCTCAAGTTTTGTTTTTAGGTTGTATTTGGACCTTTCTCCTAATAAATAAGAGAAAAAATTTATGGTGCTCCTTAACATGTCTCTGTTGATAGCTAAATTTCGCAAATTATAAATATGGATCATGCAAATTATTTGGCCGAATGATTGGTTACTTGGACAGGTTAATTTATTCGGCTTTAAAAATCTAAAGATCCTAATGCCAGTATTGCCCGGATGGGAATACAGATTAAAGAAGGGAGTGCTGGTAATTAATTAGCCGCGTCGTGCTATTGTTAGCAATTTTTTATTAAGAAGACATGCAGGTGCAAGTACGTGAGATAGCAGAGGGGAAGACCAGGCACGTCTTGCGCATGGCGGCATGCACCACGGAGATCCTGAGGAATCGGGCACAGAGGAAGGAGTCCACACATAGAGAGATTAGTTGCCATGGTAAGATCAAAGTCTAGATCACCCTATATATTTTCAAAAAAAAATCTTTGCCGAGTGCCAGATCTGGAACACTCGACAAAGAATTTTTTTTAAAAAAAAACCTTGTTTGCCAAGTGCCTAACAGCAGGCACTCGACGAAGAAGGACGTGGCCGAACACCGTTACGCGGGGCAGCCTATGCCGAGTGCCGTGCTTTTGCCGAGAGCCTGGCACTCGGCAAAGAAGTCCTTTACCGAGAGCCTTTTTTTGTCGAGTGTAATTCTTTGCCGAGTGCGACACTCGGCAAAGAAGGTCTTTGCCGAGTGCTCGATTTTTGACACTCGGCAAAGCATTTTGCACTCGGCAAAGATCCCGTTTCCAGTAGTGCATGTAGATAAATTTACATCTCGTATACTAAATTTTCGAGGCAAATGCTAAATCCTATGACGACACGGCTGTTAGGCTAACGAATCTTACAATTCATGTGGGATGAGCAGGGCACATGCATTATTTTGAGAATAGTCCAAGAATTATATTATTTTGAGGATGAAAGGAGTACATTCTTTTTCACAAGTTGTGATGACTTATTTTCCAACCCTACCCTATACAGCCAACTTTATGCAGGAAGGAACCAAGAAAAGCAGTCTCCGCCAATCCGTCTGTTTTCTTCCAGTGACGGGCCCGCGCATCAACTTGGATGAGAAAAAAATGCCTCGGATTCCCATGGCTCTCGCACCTCACGTTTTTGGTCGCCGTCATCTAACGGCCAAGCTTACTTGTTTCATTTTCACTTTCCTTTTTTTTATTCACAAATATTAAGATGTTCACACGTTTCCATTCCCCATGGTGCTCCTAAAGAAAGCTTGTGGCATACTAAAATTTCATTATAAAAACATTCATGGAGCTCGTTTGCGGAGAGAGAGAATATAGAACTTGATTAGTGATTACCTGAAGTTGTCCCCATGAAGTAATGCTATCATCTTCTTTCCAAATTGAAGCCTCACACCAAAGACCACCATGGCACATGGACATCTTGCACGCATATCCATCATGCTGTAGAAAAGCAGCATGTCCACTTTACACTACAGCAACATCACGTCGTATTAAAATTCTGTGATTCACTTAAAAGTTGCACATAACACTCATTGTTGTCTTATTACAATTAGCCCATAAAGCCTGTGTTAACTTTGCAGGTATCAGACCAACTAGCTTTTTTGCGTTTGGTCCTAAAAAGAAGACTCGTCCCAGTGCATTGTGCGCTCATTTTCAAGAGCGTAGTTTACACTAGCATTAGTTAATTTGCTCTCTTCCAGTTCCCACAAGCAACAGATGGGTCATCTTTTCGCAGCCTTGTAGAGATAAAATAACAAGCACATAACCAGCGAAGAGAAGCCATGCAGTATTGCAGAAGCACAGTAAGGGCACCTGCAATGGGGGACTCATAATAAGCTAGCTCTAAGTATTTTTTATGTTTTAATGGAAGAGAGAGAAAAGCTAGCTCTTCATCAAGAGGTAGGCTCATAAACACATTTTAAGATCATGTGAGAGTGTCATATGTGGCCATCCGTGTTATGAGCTAAAAGTTAGAGCTATTGAAAAAAGTTGATTTAAAACTAGCAACTAGGTTATACCATTGTGGGTGCCCTAAGCAAGTTTTGTACATCATTGGACTACAATTTAAATGACAGATAAAGGTAGTAGAGTCTGCTAACCAGCGTGGAACTCAGATTAGATTACTGAGATAAGCTATACTATTCTCGACTTACGACGGATCAGTTGTGTGAACCTGCTTAATTTGGTTCTTTTGCCCTTTTGAGTACTATTGCATGTCATTTGAACTGTATGTTCCTCATTTTATATTTATATACTCTGCTGGACAGGCCCTAGTATCAATGGATTGGCATCTTCTGCAAAGTGCCTTTAGAAAATTAGAATGCTGCTAGTAAAAATATTCAAGGTGTCGTGTTGGTATACCCCTTATGACTTAAGTAGAATCTATGTTGGACATCATCTAGAAAGCATCAGCTGAGAAAAAGGAGAGTGTGACTACTTTGATTATTTCCTTCTTGTTCTTACCGCTCTAATGACTAAGAAAAAAATTGATAACTATCCATAAGGTGTTTTTTTTAAACTATCCATAAGGTGTTGAACACACTATCAATTTGTTTCTGAATAGTTTAGGTCATTAAATGTTTTTAAATAAAAGGTAGTCAACTACAGAGTTGCAGATCTCCAAGTAATACAACTTTGCTTTAAGTCATTTGAAAAAAAATTAAAAAATGAATTTCAAATTATCAAAATTTGAACAATATTTTTGGGCATTAAATGATTTTAAATAAAATAGTCGTTAAATACAAAGTTGCGTATCTGTTCGAGTCCTATAATTTGGTATAAAGTTTGTTTTCATCCTATTTAATTTGAATACGGTATGAATTTTATTGTGCTCCACCTATTTTTAGGGGCGGACGAAATTATCAACTGTCTCTAGAAATATATTTCTAAAGACGGCTGGGAAGACTAACCGTCTATGGAAATGGGTTTCTTAAAACAGAGGACGTTTCTTAAACATAGAGGGCATTTGTAGAGGCAGCTGGGTTTCTAGCTGCATCTAAATTTCAATTTCTAGAGGTGGACTAGATAAAAAACCATTTTAGAGGAAGATTTTGATAGCATCGCCTCTCTTAATGAATGGAGACGTTTCTAAAAAACCGTTTTTTTGTTGTAATAAGAGGATGTGCTCTCACATAGTCACATATCTCCGCCTCTTGGTATCCGCAAAAACCATTCTCATGGCTAAGGAAGGTTCCCGGAGCGAGAAGAGACAGAACCAAAGTCGCAGGAGATGGAACAAAGTAAATGCAAAAGAGAAATTCAGGAAACTTTTTTGAAAAATGATTATAAGAAAGTGATGACTTAATTAACTGTATAACTTATAATTAACTAATAATTATTGGAATTTTGTAACATACAAAAATATAAGGGCGACCTTTTTCATATGCTGAACGTTTATGTAACAAACAGTCCAGCTATGTAAGGCATGCATAGAACAGCACAACACATAAGCGCACAACTCGTGTGTTTGCCTCTCAGGACGATGAGATGGGTCGATCCCCCTTCTTACCGATGTTTGGATGTAGGGCAATGTGGGATGGGACGGCCTCGAGTGGAATATACCGCCTATATTTGGGACGCCTGTCCCTCTAGAAACAAGCGGACAGGGTTGTTATCCCACATTGACGGCGTTGTTGGGTCATCTTCTCCTCACGTGGGCAGCTTTTATCTGCTCGCAGGGGTGAATGCTACCTGTTGCAAACTCAAGAGCTCAATATTTGAAATTTTCCCGGTTATGTTCCTTCAAAAAATTATACAATTTGCGAATTATACCTCCATTCCATTGAATATGCGTGGTAGATCTTCTAGCGCTACTACTAGGAAAGACAATGCATCAATCTTTTTTAACAAAAATATTGAAACATTTTTCTTTCAAAAGTAGGCACTCCTTAAAAGAAGAATAAAGGTAAAATAAAGCTGAAGACGGTACGTGTTGATACATCCCGACGGAACGGAGGTGTACCGAGGCAGGCGTTCACTTCAAGGGATTCCATGACTTTTCTAGTCTTTTGATTCAGTGGCAAAATGCTAGGAGTAGCCTACTGTGGGCAGCGTAGGCTTTCTTCACACCACATCATTTGTGGCATGTTAGGTCTTCCCTGACGAAAAAGATGACGATACTGGCAAGTGTCGCCCCCTCTTTGGTTCTGATGACGAATCAATGTTGAGCAGTGTGGCTAACGACATTTCGAGCATAAATATATACGGAGAGGAAAAGCATGCTAAGGGCGTCCGCAATGATGCTAGCTACGTAGCTAGTTTACGTGAAGATGAAAGACAAAAGCAAAGATTATTTTATACGTTCTTACTTTTCTAGGTACTATTGGATCCACATGTTTCTCTCAGATTCTTGGACTACGTGAAATAGACCAGCTATTTTGTTCGTCGCTAGTGACTACTCTCTTTTACTTTTTTCCTATCCACGTCAGAATGGCTAGCCAAATAGCTTGCTATTGGGGACGTCCTAATAGGACCTCTCATGCATGTCTGAAATTTGACCAAGGACGTATTCCTCCTTTTCTCCACCTACTAGTGCTGCTACCTATTCAACCACTGAAAAATCTTGTATTAGTAGTAGCAGCGTCGTATAAGCTAAGATTTTGTTCAAAGCCTAGCTCCCATTTGTGACAACTTCTATACTTCTACAGAGGTGAACATAGAATTATCAAAATAGAGGTAAAAAGTTGCTGAAGGGATAGTATCACATACACAGTAGCACGTAACACACTTTCTTAATTTACTGTTCAAAACACACACTTTCTCTTATATAAGAAGAAATTGTGTGTCCACGTGGATAAGAGAGATTGACATCGGTGATTTGTCTGGCTTTCTAAAATGCCCTGACATTGTAGTTTACCGTGTTTGGTCAATCGCCGACAAAACTAGCACCACAGCTTTCAACTGCATGCCATTACCTAGCAAAGTCAAAATTCATGTCCATAGTGGTA